ATTATCTCTAAGGAAATACATATATTTATTAATATGATTATAATACATTAATAAAACTAATTACTATGAATAAATTTTCCGCTTTTGATGAAGCAAATTTATCAATAACATCATTAAAGTTGATCATACTTTAATGATAAAGTTGATCGTAAGCTACTTTGCGTTTATAGAAATAAAAATAAATAGTATTCTGAAAGAAGGAATGTTTGTACTTTGTACACTGTACAAACATACAAACACTTTGTACACTGATGTTTGAACCTTGTACACTGCAAATATTTGCAGATAATATATGTAACCACACAGCGTAGATGCCATAAGGAAGTGCTGACAGACACAGGTCGAGTCAGCCCTGACATTAGGAAAGACGCGTCATTTCTATTATGAATACATTATTACAGTTTGATAGTGTTCCATTTTATTTACGAATTACCATTTATTATATTTCACTGGCACTAAATTTAAAATACATTTTCCAGAAATAAATTATAATAAAAATAAAAAATTATCCAACAATTTTTGTTTTGTTTTGCTGACCATTTGGCGCCCCTCTGTGAGTAGCGCCCGGGGCATGATGCCCCCCTTTGCTCCCCCCTCGCTACGCCACTGGATGTAATGAGCGCTAACGTCGTCGAATTAACGACGGCCTTGGCTCATAAGCCTTGTCGGGGCCTGCTGCCTGCTTCTGCTTACTGAAGTTTGACGGGAGTAACCTCGAGAATACCCGGGATGATCCGAGTGCTTGTCTAGTGTTTCCTCGCGCTCGGCTCCAAACGGGAAAGCAAGATGTTTTCGTTCCAGCAAGAGTATGGATGGATTTTTTAGCATTTATACCCGAGAAATTCGCGGCGAGGATTGTGGATTACGTATAACCGTTTTTCTGATTAATTTTTTTGACACCTATTCGACTTTTTTGGTTTGTATTCGAAAATGATATTTTGGAATCAGCTGCGTGCCCCCCCCCCCCTGCAACAGTCTCGCGCCCCTCTAGGGGGGCACGCCTTACAGTTTGGAACACACTGCTTTAAACATATTATTATGGATATTGTCAGGGCCTGGGGATGTTTCTTTGCATTTAATTATAGCAGACTTTAGTTCATGCATCGTTAAAGGTGAATTATAATCGTCACTACGTAAAGGGGGTTTTAGAGCTATTTTCTCTATTCGGGATTTATAATTTTGAAGGGATTGGAGGTAATTTTCTTTACTGGAGGCAAAGGAAAAATTTTTGGCTAATGTGTTAGCGATCTCTTTAACGTCTGTGATTTTATTACCGTTCTCTATTAAATGTGGAATTGGAGAGGAAGTATACAGTCCAGAAATTATTTTAATTGTCTTCCATACTACTGCTGATTTAGTATTACTTGTTATTTCACTTACGTATTTAATCCACGAATCTTTCTGTCTGCGAATTCTTCGAGCTAGTGACGGCGATTGTTTAAATAGTATTAAGTTTTCAATTGTTGGATTACGACGAAATTTTCTCCAGGCTTGTCTTTGTTTTCTAATAGTTCTATTACAATCTTTATTCCACCACGGCTTAGGATATTTTAGTAGTTTTTGTGTTGTATACGGAATGGATTTTTCGGCTGCAGATATTAAAGCGTTTGTAACATATGATGTGGCTTCTTCAATATCGGTATTATCAATGATGTCTTCATTTAGAATGAATGATTTCTGCAAAAAGAGGCCAGTTTGCTAGATTTATACGTAATTTTGGAAAATGCCCTGTAGTTGCAGATCCAGGTTGTAAAACTTTAATTATGAGAGGGAAATGATCACTGTGGTAGAGATCATCTCCGACAGAAAACTTCAATACTGGATAAATACGTGGTGAGCATAGCGTTAGATCGACATCGTGAAATGTTCTAGATGGGAAATGGAAGTGCGTTTTTTCATCGGTATTCAGCAAACAGAGTTGGTGATCGTCAATTAACTTTTCTATTTGATTGCCGCGTAAATTATTATCATCACTTCCCCACATTACACTATGTCCATTTAAATCTCCCGTGATTATGAAAGGTATTGGTAATTGAGTAACTAGTTTGTCAAGTTCTAATTGTGTAACAGTTTGGTTCGGTTGGATGTAGATACAGCATATTGTTATGAGTGATTGAAACGTTATTTGTGCTGCTATAGCTTGTAATGGAGTTGAAAGTGGAAATTTGGAAAATGGATACTTTTTTGATATCAAAATTGATACACCACCGCATGCTTTATTGCCAGTTATGCAGTCTTTTCTTATGTGGGTATATCCTTTTAACGTAGCATTTTGCTCTGATTTCAAAAATGTTTCCTGGAGAGCAAAACAGACGGGATTGTGTTTTTCGATAATGTCTTTGATATCGGGCAAGTTGATATAAAAGCCACGACAGTTCCAAGATATTATTTTTTTTCTCCATTATTTATTTTTTTAATTTTATGTTTTTAGGGCTTAGGTTAACAGGCGTTTCCATACCCTTTTCAATTTGCATTTCAGAGTCGGTGCCATCTTCATCAGTGTACATTTCGTCAGATTGAGAATCTTTTTTGTTATTTATAAGTTTTTTACGGTTTTTGTCAAAACAATTTTGTCTGCCTTTAGAAACAAACTTAGCTTTGCTAATCATTGGTGATTGAGATAGTTTTTTATGCAAGACACTTGCTAGTTGAGGTGTAATTTTTATATATTGATTACTACTAGGATTCTTTTGCGAAGGAGTCTGTTGAGAGGATTGTGGAGAGGGCTGAGAAGGTAATGAATTTGAAGTGCTGCGTGTCGGTTGAATTGCTTTAGAGTATTTTGTTGTGGATGTACTGACAAATTTTTTGGGAAGTAAGGTTTTAAATTTCGTATTCTGTGGGTCTGTTTCTTCTTCATTGTATTGTATGCCAATGGATTTCGTTATTTTAGAGTTAGATATGGCAGCTGCATATGAAATGTTTGGGCGCGGCTGTGAATTTAGAAATTTTGTCTTAGCTTCTGTATAGGAGAGATTTTGTGTTACTTTAATGTTTAAGATTTGCTTTTCCTGCTTCCATTTTTGACATAATCGTGAACTAGCAGAGTGAGATTCATGGCAGTTAATACATAGTTCAGGTGATGTACAAGACTTAAATGTATGCCCCGTTTGGACGCAGCGGGAACATGTTTCCTTCCCTCTGCAATTGTTGGTAGAATGACCAAACTTTTGGCATTTAAAACAACGTAATGGATTGGGAATGTAAGGTCGGACTTTGCAATTTCTATATCCAGCTTTTACGTCAGTGGGTAATGTGGCTGTGCTGAAAGTTAAAATTATGTGTTGAGTTTCAATAATTTCTGAACCTTTTTTAATAGTTATGTGTCGGGCATCAATAACGCCTTGAGTAGAGAGTCCTTCAATGATTTCAGATATAGGGAGATATTGAAGAGCTTTATCGGATATGACACCTTTTGATATATTTAAAGTATTGTGTGGAGATGCTCTTATAGTAACATTGCCAAGTTTATGAGATTTTAGTAGTGCAGTTGTTTGTTTAACAGACGAAGTTTCCACTAATAAATCCCCTGAGGGCAGCTGTCGGACAATTTTAGGGTTTCCCATGAGTGATTCTAGTGATTTTTGTACGAGGAATGGAGACAAGGTAGAAAGCTTCTTATCGGTAGAACTAAGTATTATAAATCTTGCTTGTGTTGGGTCGTAATTTGTACAATTTGAGAGGTTAAAACTAGGTGTTGGTTTACTTTGATTGTGTGAAAAAGTTGCTTTCTCCATAATGCAAGAGGCTGTTCCGATGGACACTCCCATGCCCACCATCGAGCCCAACGAGGGGAACAGAGATATCGGCTCTGAATATTTCAGCCTCGGCACTCTGTTCAGGGTAGCTCCAGTTATAGCACTACACCAGAGGAATGTGGATCCGCCAAAAATATTATAGCTCACGAGGCATTCCAGTGGGGCAGTACGTAGTCCCAAGCAGGGTGCTGTTAAGCCTGCCCCACCAGCCGGTTGAAAGAGAGGGGGACCTATCCTCCTTCCACTCGTCTACAGTGAAGCATGGACCAAAGAGCACGCAGTCTACTAACTCCAAGATGAAAATGCCCCCTTGGGCGCCACACTCGTATGAGAGAGCATACAGGTTGCTCCAGGTTCCCTTTTTCCACCCTACGAGACGCAGCACACGACAAACGTGCTGGTCAGAAAAAGCTAACGTTCTTAGTCTGTTTACTTTAAGGGAAAATTGGTTATTTAAAATTAATAGGTGAAACATCATAAATCAGGAAACCCGACAAAAATAGTATTAAACAAACAAAAATCTAAAGATCTACCATCTGTAAATGATAAACAGTGCTTCTGAATGAAATGAAATAAAATTCGCTCACTAGGTCAATATAAATATTTGATAAAATGTCGGAAACTCAAAACAGGACCGTCGCAAGAGAGAAATGGAAAAATGCTCAGGTCCAGCTCGGGGCCCCGGGAGCGCCGTGCCCGTCACACGAGAGTGTGCCCCTGGGGGGCTATTCATGTTGGATACATATTGAATCCAAAAATTCTTTTGGCTTCTTCTCCTAATATTTCTGGCTAGGGCTCGCGATTTTTTGAAAATAATAAGATTTTCGATGGTGGGAAACCTGCGAAATATTCTCCACGCTCTTTTCTGTGCTTTATGAGCGGAGCTGCATTCCTGGTTCCACCAAGGTTTAGGGTACCTTGGGAGATTACCAGTAGTGCGCGGTATAGATTTCTCTGCAGCAGACAGAATAGCATTAGTAATTGATGTTGTAGCTTCGTTGACAGAGTTATTGACTAAGTCATCATTTAAATTAACTGAATTTTCTGAATAAGGTCCAGTTAGCACGTTCAAACTTAAATTTAGGTGATGCGGGAAGATTCCTTTGTCCAGATTCAATAATAGATAGAAGTAAAGGGAAATGATCACTCTGACCTAAATCATCGTGAACATTTAGGTTCAGTAAAGTATAAATGTTGGGACTGCAAATAACTAAATCAATAGAATGATATGTTCTGGATGGAAAGTGGAAATGAGTTATTTCATTGCTATTCAGTAAACACAGTTGATGATCATTTATTAATTTTTCAATTTGTGAACCGCGAGCGTTGATATCTTTACTTCCCCAAATAGTATTATGACCATTAAGATCTCCCAATAAAACATAAGGTACAGGTAACTGATTTACTAAATTGTCAATGTCTAGTTGTGAAATATGTTCGTTTGGGGGAAGGTAAACAGAACAGAAAGTTATGAGCAAAGTTATTGTTATTTGAGCGGCAACTGCTTGAAGGTTTGTTTGAAGTTTAATACTTGAAAATGGATAACTGTTTGAAATGAGAAGAGACACGCCTCCACATGCTTTATTTCCAATAATATTGTCTTTTCTTATGTGTGAGAATTTTCGTATAGTAGCCGTATGAGTTGGTTTAAAAAATGTCTCTTGTAGAGCAAGGCACGCGGGATTATACACCTCTATTAAATGTTTAATGTCCGAACAGCTTGAATAAAATCCACGACAATTCCAGGTTAAAACTTTCCTCTCCGTTATCTTTTAAGTTTTAATTTTGATATTTTTGGGAATGAGGTTAGCTGGCGTTTCTAACCCTTCATCTACTTGCATTTCTGGTTCTGGCGAATCATTTGTATTATCTTCATCTGTACTCATTGCGTCCGAAAGCGACTGCTGGTCTTGCTGAGTACCATTTAACTGTTTCTGACGGAATTTAAATTTATTTTGTCTGCTTTTCGGGATGTATGTTTGTTTGCTAAAACTTGAAGGTTGAGATAATTTTTTATGCAAAGCATTTACTATTTGAGGAGTTAATTTTAGATATCTGTTACTTTCTGTATTGTTTGGAGCTTTAGATTGAGTAGAGGGTTTTGAAGTGCTGGGTGTTTGTTGAGTAACTTGAGATGCCGTTGATTTCGATTTATTAGATTTCTGTCTTGGTTTCAGAATTTTTGATTTCATGTTTTGCGCATCTATTTCAGTTATGTCATATTGTGTTCCTATTGATTTTGTTGGTTTTTTGGCAACAACTGTTGCATATGAAACGTTAGGTATTGGTTGGTACCCTAAGGGACATCGCAAAAGTGACCTTATAAGCGGGGTGACCTTTTAACCGATTCATTAGCAGTTCATAACTAAGCACGTGAATAGTACACATTATGATTTTTTAGAAAAGGTAATACAAACGAAAACAATCGGCCATAAATTAAATATTTAAGTCAATACATTTTAATAGAATTAATAAAAAATTAAAGAAAGTTAGATTTTTGAAAATTTTTTTTAATTTAAAATAAAGCTGTTTACAAATTTCTTCAAAGTGTACTACATACATTACATCTAACCTTATTTAAAGTAATCATTTATGCAGATCCGTCTCGTTTTTGGTTTCATTTTTCGAACAATGTTTTGTAGATTTTGTAACTTCTCAAAATGTTCTTCAGCTCCCTTATGGTTTGTAAAAAAAATTCGTATAACATTTATTGCATTGAAGGCTTTCCTTAGGGTTACAACTACAGTCTCAGCATCACTGTCATTGTCCACAATTTGTGAAACTTGTAAAACAATTTCAGAAATTACAGCTTCAGAAGTGGTGGCAATTTCCTCATCAATCAAACAATATTCAGCTTCCCCTTCAATGGCATGGTCACGATTTTTCAAATCTTCCATCAGAATATCGTCTTCTTCCTCGGTTTCGTCATCCACGATATTCAGAGAACTCACAAAACCAGCATGACGAAACCAATTTGCTACGCATGTGGCTGACACCATGTTACATCTCAGATAAGAATGACCTTATAAGCGATAATGATTTTTAAAACCATATTTCGGATATTTTGACCATATATCCGAAAATCTGCAACGAAGAATTCCTATTCAGTGAGCCGGGACTT